GAGTGGGGATCCTGATTTATTTTTTATCCTGAATGAGCACCCTCTTCTTTGCCCCATCCTTGTTATCTACATGATGTGCTTGTTGGAACCAGAATAAAAAACATAATACAATTTGTGTATTTCTCAGCTATGATATAACTGAATAAGTGACCAATGAATTGATGTGTCATCTGTCCAACATGCAGAGCAGCTTCTATAAAAACTATCATCCCCCTGTTGTCTCCTGTCAATGGTTTCATTCAAACCACTAAAACACTGTGTGAGCTCAGTGAACCATCAAGGTCAACGGTCAGCACTCACATTACCAAAACATCACTCCGACAAGGGTGGGATTCAAACCCACGCGTGCAGAGCACAACGGATTAGCAGTCCATCACCTTAACCACTCGGTCACCTCGTCTCACTTGCTGCTATTTACACATATTTCAATGTGGTTATAAAAAGTAAACCAAGCTAAAAAAAACAATGAGTTTTTTCCTTTTTGTACGGTCTTGCATGATCTGTATTTTGGTGAAGAAATCGGACGCATCAGACCAAGGTGGCCTGGGAGGGGAGGTCCAGGGAAGTCCAACTGCTCCGAGATTACACTACGTGTTGCTTGAAAAATGTATTTCAAAGCAAATCAGACCAGCTCCACTTACTTTCAGAAACTACAGGGTGACATCACAAAGGCCACAATGACATCAAACAGTGACATCACTATGGTAACACCAAAGCAGGGGAGTGTTTTGTTGTGGGTAAAGCTGGAGAGAAAGAACTGGACAGAACACAGTCAGTGCATCCCTTCGATAGCTCAGCTGGTAAAGTGGAATACTGTAGATGACCAATGACTGATAGATTCTGGAATCTTGAAGATTGTTCTTGACATCACAAAGATCACAATGACATCAAACAGTGTCATCACTATGGTTACAGTAACATCAGAGGCTGACATCACAGAGATCACAATGACATCACTGATATAAAACAGTTCAATTAGTTTTTCTGCATTAATTTTTAAAACTTCACTGCTTAATTTTCCAGATTTAAATGGATTGTAACATCTCGTTCATCAGATCTTTCCAGCATCTACAGCCCTGTAACAGCACTGTGAGCCAAGTTCCAGTTTCTCTGAGATGTTCTATAGTTTAAACCCAGAGCTTATTCAGTTTAGCAGTGGAACAGTTCAGCTTACACTGAGAGTTCTTTTACAGACCTCAGATACAGACCCAGAAAGCAGCCGTAGAAAACTTTATGCACACATTCAAGTTATGAGGCTGTGTACCACTCATATGTATCACCCAAATGTTGATGACCCCTCATTTGTCACTGCTTTGTCACTCTTCAATCCTCATAGAAGGGACTTCAACCTGGAGTCTGACTCAGGAGTAGACAGGCTCAGTCTCACAGGGAAAGTATCGGTCAACAAAGATTACTGATCAATCAGTGGATGATTTTGGTCCGTGAGGCTTGGAGTGGATCTTTCTTCACCAACACAGGAACATGTGTCCTCTGTGTCCACCATAAAGTGCTGTTGCTGATCATAAATAGTCACTGACGTGGTCATGAGGCTCTTCTTCTGCTTGTGCTGAGCAGATGGCATCATCTCTCTCTCTGAGGCTTCTGCAGACTCCCTTCTGTGGTGATTTCAGTTGCGTGGCAAAAGTGGCTCGTTGGTCTAGGAGTATGATTCTCGCTTTGGGTGCGAGAGGTCCTTGGTTCAAATCCTGGATGAGCCCTTATAAGTAAATACAGAAATACTGGATAAATAGAGCAAAAAAGTGGTTCAAATAGGAGGATTAGCAAGAGAAATCCTCTGATGAAGGTGACAAAGGCTACAGGCCATGGGTGTGAACATTACCTATAATCGCTACTTGGCCCAAAAAAGTTTCATAGAATTACATGAAGCTTTCACTATCAGCGAGGGGTGGAGAAGGTTTAGAGCAGGTGGATTTTGGTTTGAGTTTTGATCTCAACTTGCCACATTTCCACTAAACATTACCGTCAGAAAATGAGGCCCAAGCATGGGAGGAGGAAAGAGAAACATGGAGAACCATGTGAGGCTATCACTGAGCTGTGACTTTGATTCTTGAGAATTCTCCAGCTGTGGATGTTCGATGCGCTGATTTTAAGCTTTTTGCCCTATGTAGGGCTCTAACCCACGGCCCTGTGAGTAAGAATCTCATGCTCTGTCAACTGAGCTAGCCAGGCCAAATGCATGCTAACAAAGTTGTCTCTTTGTGCCATTATTTTTAAGTTTTACTCACTAAAATTGTGCCTCCATGGGGTCGTTCAACTATCTTTTTGTTAAGGGCTGTGAGTTTCTGCTAATAAAGCATTTATGTTGTGTGGTCTCCGTTTCAAGTTAAATCAGACAGGCAAACATTACAAGATATCAAATTTTATTTAGATTCTTGATGCACCCCCCTTACCTCTGCTTTTCCTCTAAGAACCAACATTTAATGCCCTTAATCCCCTCCTTTTTGGGCCACACAGCCAGATAGAACCTGAGCCCAGCTCCAGAACAGGTCTCTGTCTGGGCAGTGGATTATTTCCTTTATCCAGAGTGACAAAAAGGGGAGCAAACCTGCATTAAATCAGGGCCTTGGGCCAGGGCCAGGAATGGGACCAGGACCAGGGCAAGGACCAGGGCAAGGACCAGGATCGGGACCGTGGCCGGGACCGGGACCGGGACCAGGACCAGAGCCAGGACCAGCTCCCTGTCCAGGACCTGGGCCAAAGTGGATCATAGTTTACTGTGGTTTTCGATTTCGATTTAAAAAAGGAAAAAAAGAAAAGAAAGTATGCCTGCCGATATGATGGAAAAAACCTCCTCCTCCCCTGTAGCTGCAACACGAACAAGCATGAACACAACCCCCCATAAACCCAAGACAGCCTCTGAGCACAGAAAGTCATCAAAGCCAATAATGGAAAAGAGGAGAAGAGCCAGCATCAACGGGAGCCTGGCTCAGCTAAAAACCCTCATCCTGGATGCTCTCGGGAAAGCTAGCTCCAGACACTCTAAACTGGATAAGGCGGACATCCTGGAGATGACGGTGAAGCATCTCCCGAACCTCCAGAGGGCTCAAATGACCACTGCCCTGAACACCAACCCCACAGTCCTGGGGAAATATCCAGCTGGTTTCAATGAATGGTCTGTGGACCTGTCATTCAGCCAGGACACCTTTAGTGAACTCTGGAACAATGCTATCACCCCAAATGTCTCCTTCATCCCCACATAAGAGACTGGTCCTCAGGGACCTTGGGATGAAAGATGCATGCTGGACAATGACCTCACATTTGATGAAAATCGTTTTGAGCTGGGTGGTGATATGGCCATCAAAGATGGCCCCTGTGCAGCTTTTTAAGGCTAACCTGGCTCTGGTTTTTGATCTGGTCATTACACAATGGGCTTCATTCACTGCATAAAGTGGACAGTGAAACACATTTAATGTCAGCATGGACATTTCCATCTCTATGATGTTTTATTTAATGATTTACTTCTGTTTGCCATACAAAGTAATATTTTAGGTCCCTCTAAAATGACCATGTCTACACTTTCTGTCGAGTGGACATTTTCAGCCCTTAAGCGAATTAAAACTTATGCCAGAAATACGACGGGGCAGGCTCGACTTTCAGCGTCAGCTTCACTGGAATAGAAATAGAAAAGGACTTTTTGATGGAACTGAAGCGCATGGATAATTGATTCAGATGGAGCACCACTGAAGGCCTAGGTGTGAAATGCACGGTCCGCCACTGTGCAGCTCACACTACAACAGGACAGGAGTTTATGAAAACATTCACATTTGGACAACATCAGGCATCAAATACCGAGTTGGACACTAAAAAGCATAAAACAAACTTAATGCAGAGTAAACAGGAAGAGTGAACAGGTGGTATTGAGTCCAATAACATAACAAAACCGTTTCAATAGGGATGACCTTGGGATGTGACACAGCAACATTTAGCTAGCACCAGAACTCCATGAAAGACATGAAAAACAACAATTTCGACAAACCACATAGTTGCTAAAAATGTGGCATTTTCCAAATAGCAGTTATGGCAAAATTAATATTCATAAAGCATTGAAGCGTTCTATCCAATTAGTTCACTCGTGTGTTGACGCTTCATGGTGCTTCATTTGCTCTATTGTGCCATCAAGTGGACAATAAATGTAAACCGTACAGCGTGGTTATAACGAGACTCTGGCATAGGTGTCTGAAGCATTGAATGAATTAATCAATGGTGTTTGTGATGCTGCCGTCCAGGGCCACCCCGCCCCTCCCCATTGGCTGCCAATGAAGGAAGAGTTTTATCTGACTGGAGCTGATCAGAGACTACAGAAGTGGAGAAAATCAATTGATCAAATCATGTTCAGTTATATAAGTTAGTCTTTAAGCATCCAGAGGTGGGGGTGTAGCTCAGTGGTCGAGCATTTGACTGCAGATCAAGAGGTCCCCAGTTCAACTCTGGGTGCCCCCTTCTTTCTGAAATGTACTGAATACTGTGATTGTATCAGACAGGGTTGTGTAGATGTGTTCCTTGGTGCATTCTGACCAAACCTTGGGGAATGAGGTGAAAATGAAATGTTCTTCTTCCTCTTTTTGGACACTTTGACCTGCAGCACAGGAATGGTGGTTGACATCTCAGTAACTGTTCATCAGTGCTTGATCCCTGCTTGAGCATTCCTCCAAGCAGTGAACAGTTAAAGCAAAGGGAACTTGTGGAAGGGACGTGTGTTCTGAAAAGCACAACAGAATGTGTCAGAACAAGCTAAATCTGCATCTGGAATGTCTGAACATTCTGTGTTCTTTGATATCTCAGAACTGAGAATGACCAACGGCAATCATTCTAGAAGCCAATCTCTGACATTCAGACACAATTTAGAGAGCATCTGTCTTCAGGATTTAAGCACGTTTTTAACATATGAAACCAATTTTAAAAGTAAAAGACAGCAACAACACAAGCAAGGGAAGCAAACTGTCAGAAGTGGAATTTGAACCCACATGTCCAGGAGAGACTATGATTGTGGGAGCCATCTTGCACTTTTACTTTGAGTAGTGGTAATTCTGTTGATTTGTTTGTTTATTATGAATTTGTTTACATTAGTGATAGTTTCATATTTTGGTAATATTTACTTTATTTGGTAAATGTATTAATTGTAGTATTTGGTTTTAGATCCCTGGGGGTAGTGGTGCGCACAGGTAAGGGTGGATATAGGTAGGAAGTGGCACTACACCTGTATCCACCTGGATAGTGGACACATGGTTTTTTACCAGCGCAAGAGATTTGTTTGCTCACCTGAAACAGCAATAATCCAGCCTCAAGGACAATTCTGTGTGGAACTTAAATAATTTTTCTTGCCTGCGTACGATACTTGCCCAGGGTGCCAAAAGTTGTCGTTTGTTTTATTTTAAGCTTAATTTGATCTTCATTAAAAGTTTGTTTGACAAACAGCTACTACAATGATGTTAACACAGGTTCAACATTCATCTCCACCCAGTGGATCCTGTAACCTGTGGTTCATTTTCTAACCCCGTCCACATGGCACACAGGTCTGGGTTAGATCTGGCGTCAAGCCAGCTCTGCTGGTCAGCTGTTGGTATGGTGAGAAGTGGACCAGGTCTGGCAATGACATCTCACCAGTGGCCCGATTTTGGTTTTGTATATGTGTCTGTTTTTATGGCATGGATTTGATGTTCTAATGTAAATCACAAAGATCTAATTCAACCTTTAGTATGTCACACACCACCACAGTACACACAGTTCACTTTAGGCTTTATTCAGGCATCAGAACCTGTCCAGGATGTACCCAGCTTTCACCGAATGTCAGTTGGAGGTCCTGACATCTGCATCAGCAACTTCACATCCAGTTGCCCAAACTGAATTTTTCAAGCTTGACCACCGGGATGACTGGGAATCTTCACAGGCATCAGCATCTAGTGATTTTTCAAGGTGGCAACCAACAAACCTGACTGAAATGAAAGGGTCTCTGCAGAAACCACACAGCAGGTGAAAATGACTCAGCAACAGCTGAAGTAAAATGTTTGGCATATTGGTTGAGATCCTCAGGAATTTCTGCAGTTGCATTGTTGAGAGCATCAAAGGGAATCACTGTGTGATGCAGCAGTGTCACTGTCATAGAACAAAAATGCAAATTGTTTTAAAATGATCTATGGCAAGAGGAAAAGAAAAAAAGTAAAAGAAAGAAATGGGCAGAATGGAGGATGGAGTGCTTTCATAACTCTTTCATAACTCTACCACCTTCTACACATCGTACTCTGGAGCAAAGTAAGAGATGCATTATACCCAGCAGACCCACCCCTCTGTACATGGGACCACGTGGCCTAATGGATAAGGCGTCTGACTTCGGATCAGAAGATTAAGGGTTCAAGTCCCTTCGTGGTTGACTTGGTAACCTTATGTTTACAAGTCCCAGTTGCTAAAAGCTTAGATTTGAGGCTCCTGATTTGTCATGTGAAATAGCAGACATTCAACCACTCCTCTTACTGGAAACCTTCTATAAAGTCACACTGTGGTGTTTTGCGGGCAAAATGTAACAGTCCCCACAATGCCATAATGCAAATCTTCAAATGGGACAAACATATCATTACGTCACATGCTTGCAGTCAGTGTTGTGTTCAAGACCACCTAACCCGAGACCAAGACAAGACCAAGACCAGAGTGTATCGAGACCGAGACAAGACCAAGACTTTTAGGGTCCGATACCAAGTCAAGACCAAGACCAGCGCCAGTATGTGACAATAAAATGTGAAACATGATCAAAATCACTAAAATTGATCTAAAAGACCCACATTCACGTAAAAACACCTAGATATTTTACACAGAGAACTGGAATAAACATAAACATCTTTATTTAGTACTTCTATGTTGTAATCACAGAATTTCAAACAATCAAAGTCGATCAAAATAGTATTTTCTCTGCCTTTCATGAACAGTACATACATTTATGTTGTTTTTAAATGTGCTATTTCAAAACCATGTGCAAATATGTAAAACTGAAAAAATGCCAATCATTTCTCTCGTTTCTCTCTCGATCAGACCAAAGGTCAGTTGTTAATGACACAGACGACTGGGTCTTCAGTTTCTCCAAGACAGTTTCCTTGACTTTTCTGACCAATTCTGGAATTCGTCTCTCAGAAACTGTTTTTCTAGAGATTGGTGTGTATTTACTGTCCAGGACTTCAAGAAAGTGTTTAAAGTGTCCATTTTCCACGTGGGAGAGGGGCAGACAACATCCAATGATCAAATCTTGAACAATGGCTTCACTGATGGCTTGCTGCCTTGGCGATTGTGGGCTGTAGAGCTGCACTTTCTGTGTAAATAACGATATTGTTGGCTGTGTGACATCACTCTTTTGCCCTGCCTTGTATTCCAGGAACCTAATAAATAGGACATAGAAATCAGTTTATCTGATCATATGAACATCAATTACATAAGAAAACAACCTTAAAAATAAGTAGGAACTTTACAAATACATGTCAAATATGTGTAATGTAATGTTACTAGAAACGCATGTAGATAAACAAAATGCAAATCAATGGTATTTTGGCCATCACATTTTTGAAATGGATAAACAAGTAAGTTAAATGACTGATATGGTATGAACCATAGAGAGTGAACTGGTAAAAAGTTACTTATTGACCTGAAATTGTAAATGGCAACATAACAATGTGGTTTCTAAAAGTAATTTGCCTATATCCATACAAAGCAACTAATTTATTAATTTTTCATAAGGTGAGGCATATTAGTCTCTTCACTCTCTGCTTATATCTATAGACTAGTTCCCACAGCCAAACAACAGAGCATCACCTCCACGTCTTATCTTCAATGTCAGGAGCTATATCCAGCTCCTAAGGTCAATGTATCTTACATTGACCTTAGTTCATAATTATGAGACAGTGAATGAATTCATTCACTGTCTCATAATTGTTTTTCATGAGAAAGAAAAAATCTAACTTAGGAACAGGATGTTATTATATGTCCAGTCGACTCAGTCTCTCAAGGTTAACTGCATTTGCTTACTTCCCTTAATAATGTTAATTGTAGGACCAATGCAAGAAAATACAACTTATTTAAGGTTAAGCATATCAGGTTTGGCACATTAATAAATTATATATGATGGCTTTGGAGACATTGGGGTTACCCACCAGCACAAGCCAGCACATGCTGACAGAACCATTACGTTCTGTCATGGTTACGTTACAGAACGTAACCATTA